ACACGTGGATCGAAGGTAAGACGAATGGTTCTGTGTAGACTACGAGAAGAGGTGACGTGTCAATTAAGCTACCCTACAATTCACCGGAAAATTATGTACAGAGGCCACCATATACACATGGTATATGTACGATAAATCACGACCAGTTTCTCAAATGATTTTTGATTTGATGATTATTTATGTCGATAACGTGGTGTTGCTCGGCCATGGATTGCTCGATAGTCGTTCAATTGCGTTGCTCATACTCGTTGTCGAATGCTTCATAGTTGCTCGGCAAAACATTAAGTCTCTGCGATTTTATGCATATTTTATTTGTACATCATGTTTGCAATGTCATCAGAGTTAGTAAAAGAACAAAAGTTTCTAAAGAAATTTATTTTTTTGGATGATTTCTAGTAAAAATCTTGTTGGAACAAGTTTACTTTCCGGCCATATCCTTTAACCTTTTTAACTATCAGGTAGAAAATTTGTATTGCGGGCATACGAGTTTCTACCTGCGTTTTTAGAAAACGCTGTTCTTTAGTCTCTTTTTTGAATTTATTTCTTCTCTTTGTGTGAATTTCCTTTAATTCTTCTTTCTATTCCCCTATAATTTTAAATTTTTTGAAATTTCTATAAATTTTCCTTTTTTTTCTTTTTTTTTTCCTTTTTTATTTTTTGATTTTATTGTGATTTTTAATATTTATTTTATTTGTGTGTGTTGTGTGTGTGTGTGTGTGTGTGTGTGTGTGTGTGTGTGTGTGTTGTGTGTGTGTGTGTGTGTGTGTGTGTGTGTACGCACGCGCGCGCGCGCGCGCTTATTGCTGTTATTTTATACTGATTGCAATTATTTAATTTGTATTTTTTGTATAGCTAAAGAGTGTTTTTTTAAATTATTAATAAATGCTTTTCTTATTACATGATTTTGCATTATTGTTCTATAATTTTCTTGCAATGTTGAATATATGAATTCTTATCAAGATTTTCGTTTCTTTTAACTTACATATGTAGCAATACTTTGCCTTAAATTCTCTTGTTTTTTTCTTGATTTCATTTACTTTTAAATAAAATATATATATGTCAGAGTTCAACAATTCCGGTAACAAACAACGACGCCTCGATTGATATCGCGTAAACCAAGTGGCTGGTCTAGGGCGAAACCATGCAAAACAAAGAGAAATCTCCCGGCGAATTATGCAGATCGGGTGCATTTGCATTTGCTTAGCATACACTCTGGTTGTTACACGGCCCTACTACGAGTATGGACTTTCTCATCTGGTTACCATAAAAAATTAGAGGTATCTAAGCCCAATGATTCCCGCGATCGGTCTCTCACGCGGCATCGCCCTTTCCCAAAGTCGATCTGTCGATCGATTTCACAATGCTTTACCCCCGGATTGGATTAAATGAACATTAATGCCGATTTCTCGATAATGCAATGCATTCGCATAACACAATTCGAAACTCGCTAACGAATGACATTTATGTTATGTGTATGTGTGATCGATGTCTTCAATTTAAACTGTGCAAGATCTAAAATAATAAAAAATTTAAAGATTATCATAAGATATGATCTATATAAAATCATATATAATAATTTCTTAATTAATATTTTATTAAACTATGCAATAAGTTGTAATTCGAATAACCATCTTTATAAAGCACGATTCATTCTATAGACTTCGCAAGAATCGACAGGTAATTCTTGCTGGCCGGTACGAGACATCCTTCTCTATCGCCCACGAATTTTGTAAAAGATCGAGCGTAATGCGGCAATTACGCGAACGCGGAACCCTTCCGTAAAAGGGAAAACGCACGTTAAGGAATCGTGTTCATTCTCAAGGTCGACCGGTATCCTACCGGCTCCTGCCGCGGCCTGCATAACGCGTTTCTATTACGCGGTCAATTGCAGCGATTGTTGCGTGTCTCTCGCAATCAGTGGCTCTTGGTCTACACATGCTCTATATCGGACGCATTTGTTCTCTAGTCTCTTTCCTATCTTGTCTGTATTTTTGAAAAATTCCTTTGTTTCGATAGTATTAAAAAAAAACGCGACTGAATTGTTGATTATTTTAGTCGTAGTTTCTTATTTTGGAGAGATTAACTTTTGATTTTTCTTCTGACGAATAGAACGAAAATTTGTTAAAATATAATCAGATGTCTTAATCATAGCTAAAGTGATTTTACCATCTCACCAAATGTGCAGAACTAATTTTTCAAAAAATTCCATTGGCACCGCTTACGAAGAAGGTCGAGAAGATCTGCCCTTCCTTAAACCAGTTATCGCAACACAACGGTTTCTTTCGGGGCTGATTGCGGGCATGAAAATGGCGTAATCATCGTGATTAACGAGGAAACCATGTCGTCCTCGTCGTTCTCTTTCGTCTCAGAGCCTCTAATTGGAACACATCGGCGTTCAAGAGACTGCGATCACCGCGTATGAGAGAACGTGCAACAAAATAACACATTTAGGTCGATCACATAAATGTCTACGTGTTTATACACAAATGTATATATGAATATGTTGTATATATGAATATGTATATATATATATATATATATATATATTACTTTAATACTTAATAAGTATATAAGAGCAGCTATTACAGCCATCTCTTTTACGAGACAGCGAGACAATGACGTTTTGACGACACATTTTCGTTCAAACTTGCTCCCTATTGCGAGTAGTATTGCAGTGTTATCAGACATTCGGAAATGCTTTAATTGTGCTGATAATCGACCTCACCTCTCCGGGTCAACAGCATCGAAGGACTCGACGTCCTTGGACACAACCGGCAGATGGTTGGCAAGACGTTGTTGGTGCGCGCAATCCGGCTCGCGATGCACACCAATGCTGGTATGTGCATTCGTGCCCGTACGATCTAACTTACGAGGCAACATCTCGTTTCTTTCGAACTGGCCGCGAACAAGAGCAAGAAGATACCGGGTGCCTTGAGTGCCTCGACGACCGAGAATTTCCTCGGGGATATTGTCGCGACTTCTCGCACCGGAACGTTCGCACCGGACGCTTCGCCTGCCCGTCTCGTTGCTCTTTTCTCTCTTTTTTCTTTCCTTCTTTTCAGCGTTTTCATTTTCGATATTACGTCCGCCCAGAAAGGTTGCGGCGCGCATTAACTACTACTTTATATGCCCCGCAAAAATTATTCCCGATACGCGACTGTAAATAATGCCATTGTGATCACGCTCCCGTGGATCGCGTTGCGCAAGCACGCTGCGTACGCGCAGTATACGAACGCTTATCCCGATGCATTTCAGCGTTACGCATAAATGTAAAATTATGTAAGTACTGCGTAAGCGTATAATATGTAAACCAATACGATATTTTAGTAAGACTTTACGAGGCGACACCTGCGTGGGCGTCGCGCGCGTTGTATAAACGCGGAATAATTTTCATGAAGAGATACGCGCTGTTCGGCACTGCGTGGCGGTAGATAAGCATCCATAATTTTCTCTCGAAACGATAATTTATTATTGTTAAGCGTAATATAATTTGTTTTCCAAACGAATAAACTTAAGAAATTTAGGGAATATGTCCACGTAATTAAATAACAATTTTCTCGGCAATCAGTTTAGGAAAATCACGGTGAATCACAACGAGATATTACTAAATAATTATTTCGTTTCTTTTAGGATCCAAAAAGCATAAAAGTTCTTGCGACTTCGTCGCATTAATCATAAGTTTCATATACCAATTTTGAGACATTATTTATATATTATTTACATATTTATATATTTATTTATATATTATTTATATATTATTTATATGTTTACTTTGAAAAGTAGCTTGACGTTATTATTCACGATTTTAATCGAAGAAGATGTGTGTGGTCATATGGTTTTAGTATTGGTGAATATACAACACACAATTTAATTGATCATTATTTAATAGTTGCAGATATCCTTCGATTATTAAATATTTCCTGATATTTAGTACGAATCATTTAGGACGAATCATTCTCACGTGAATCATTCATGATATCGCTTTATCACTTTTTGTAAATTTCCTTATGACTGATGCTAATTTATAATGTCGTGAAGAAATATCGCCTACCTATTAAGAAGTTCCTTTTGCGACAAGCCGAAGTTTGTATGTTATTTATTTTTTTTTTTTTTTTTTGGTTAAACTTCTACGAGTGCAAAAATTCTCTCTTACGCCACGTCTATAACAGCATAACAAATCTTGATTTATACAAATTAATTCACGTCTACTTATCATTCTTAACGTCGAGGAAAGATTCTCCGTAATTAAATTCTGACGCAAGAGTTCAATACACCGTGTCTCCATTCATTTAATTGAATTCCTAATCGCTGATTCGTAAACCGAAGGAAGAAATCTAAGATCAATGTTCGATTAAGCTTCGATTCGAATCGGCGCAAATTTAGTGCGCCGCGTATCGCAAAGTACGGGCGGGATAACGCAGCCAAAGAAGCGAGCGGAGAAGAGGGATAATAGACATAGATTATAGCAGTCTTAGGGGCCTCTACGGCGGCGGAGGAACGAAGAGCGGGCAGCGCGGTCGTTTGCCTTGGATTGCCTTCGAACCGGCGGAGCACCGGCGGAGAGCGCCCGATCCCGATTTGATCCCGGCTGGTTTCCGCCGCGCATTCCATCCAGTCGAATCGGCGACGCTCGGTTCTGCTCGCAGATCTTCGTTCACCATCGGCCATCCTCGGTTATCCCGCTCGGCATCGCGGTCGGCTAACATCGGCAACAGTCGTGCAACGGCGCTCGCGCGGAGTAGATCGCGGGCCGCGTCTTTTATTACGAATCCGCCGATAGAATGACGGTGCCTCCGTCGACGTCGCCGGGAGACGTTCAGGACGTTCGTACGTGGACTGATAACGTGCCGATCGCCGGCATTGCGTGGTGAATCATTGCTCCAAAATCCAACACCGCGTGGAGAGAGAAAAGAGAAGAGTCCAAGAGTCGTAACATCGAAAAAAAAAGCGATCCTTTCTCACGCGTGATCTCGGAAGAGAGCATTTTCCGACGTGTGACGTGGTGTTTAATGTGGGTGTGCAACGTTCCCTCGGATTTTAAGGACTTCGCGATCGACCTGGAACACCTTTCCCCGCGACGGTAGCGGCATAGCAACGACGATCGAACGAAGCGGAGCTGCAGCCGTCTTCGTGCATCAACAGGTGGGGACCAGCAAGCAATATCAGCTTCTATGCTTCTCCGCGTCTCTCGCCAACACCTGCGCGTCTCGCGCCAGGTGGCAACGAAGACTCAGCCGTCTTTAGTCATAGGAGTTTCTAGGCAATGCTTGAAGGAAGCCTGCTGTGCGAAAGCGCACTCGCACCTGCCCATTGCTATGGGCTCTTCATGTTCTTCTCGCAAGCGAGATAAGCTCATGTACCACGTGCTTAACGATCGTTACACAATATTTGCGCGCGACTTGGTCTTCCGTCTGTGTCATGTTTCACGCTTCAATTCGTTAAGCTAATTACTCTCTATTCCTCGTGTACAAATCTCTAATTGGTGTTGGTCATTGTACACACATTTAATTTAATTTTGTCTTAAAGAAACACTCGAGCTATTTGCACAAATATTATCGCGACCGTCCGCAAGTGATTTAATATTATTATGCACGCGTTGGTGAGTTCAATGCCGTGCTCGAAATTCGATGCACTTTCAATGCTCTAAAATGGCTTAAAATTTCCTGTATGTTTAGGTTCCAGTTTTTATACTCGCTTTTGACATGAAAGAAACGGCAATGTAAATCTTATGGAATCGTGAATCGTTTTTTTACCTGACCAAATTCTAGATAGCGATCCCTACCGGATTTCCGGTTCGTGTGTTCTCCTTTAGAGACATACTCAAAAATCATCGATATAACAGTATTTCAAACCAATTTCGTACGGGAAAATAACACCGTATAGCGCTCACATTCTCGTATGTAAGATATATAAAGTGTATCGGACGCGGATCGCCATTAATGGCAAACCTCGACATTCCCAAGGAGTGTTCCTCGACACCGGCCGACGCCGACCGGTGCGTTGAACCGATTTTCCGGTAGGATCCATTGTTTCGTCCACAAAGTCTTGTCGTAACTTTCTTCTAGAAGGACTCATGATCGCACGCTTGAGCCAAAGAAGGCAGTCGCACTCATAGATACAATCACCATTTCGTCGAGTAGGTTGTTGGTTCCCAAGTCTCTCCCAAGTCGATTTTTTTTAATAACAAATACGTCTGTGTTGTTTGTGCGCGCGTGCGCGCTGCGGCGAGGCGGTGGCCTTGACACCAGATCGATACCAAGGCTGGTGCCTTGACCTTTTCGTGACGCGTCCGTAAGTTGCTTCTTCGGCGCGGCGAACGATATGGATAAGCGTGATATCGACGAGCCGCGCAGCCACGTGAATCGGAGCGAGAGAGGAATAGTTCTATACTGTAACAAAATTAAAGTGCGAATGTTAATACAATTAACGAACATGTGAATATAATTATGTGAATGTAAATAATTTCATGGATAGATAGCTGATCTGATAGAGAATGTGCGCTCAGAATAGAGTTGTATCCATTATATGATAATTTTTTAGATATATATGTACCTTTAACTCTTAAAATAAGTTTTAAACTATAGTCTCTTGTTTTATGCGTGTTTCTTTTATACGTTTTAGGAAAAAAAGAAAGATTAATTATTTATCTAAAAAAGACTTTACTTTAAATAACTTTTGTATCACTAACAGTAAGATTGGATTGAAAATGTTGAAAAACACATTAAGATTATGAGAATATAATTCTTGTTGATAAAATATTACAATTACAGCAGATTTTTATTATTTTATATTAATAATTTTTAACCTATTCTAAAATTTAAGATACAATAATTTCGTTATCCATAACTTTATGAGCCCACTGTATTGTGAATTGGAGCGAAGAAAAATTAATTAAATTAATCTTTGAGTCGGCTGATAACGGGATCAGGTTACGAATGTTAAATTACGTGATTCATGTAGTAAATATACAATTAAGAAAGAAATATATGCATTAATTGTCAAATATTAAATACGGTATTATAAATATCGTTAATAAATTATATTAAAAATATAAAATTCCTCTTATTTATATTTTAGAATAAAAAAATATTATATTATTTTAAAAAGAATAAACAAATCAATAATAAGCTTTTTTCAAATGCTAACTTATTAATATATCGATTAAGCACCTTGTAAAATGTAAATTATTTGGAAAAAATTTTAGGATGAAAGTGTCGTTTCCGATATTATTAATCAGTTAATCATGTTCAAGCGACAGCTGATAATTATAGAAATGATTGCGCAATTATCAATGAAAGTGTTTGTACGTCTGGTAACAGACATGCCAGGCAATCCAGTTTGGCTTCGATAAACATATTTGTCAGTGTGACGCATAAAAAATCTTTACAGTAGCTATGAGAATATAACAAAAGTTTGCCATGACTATCTTTTTCAGGTATTCGTGAACACAATCCTCTTATGAATGAAGCATAACTTCTTTGAAAAACCAGGAATTTCTGCTCTGTAGAATCTTAAGTACAGAAGACTGATGTAGCTACTTGTAATAATTATGACTGGGTCAGCCATTCCATCGCATACTAAACACCAACTCCACAAGAGACCTCCAAACGTAACGCTTATTAAAATACCATCATTAAACGCTTCGATCGCGGTCCTGAGCCTTCGTGAAGGGGCTACAGTGAAAGTTGCTTCGTGCCCTTTGACCATGGACATTATTATTACGTAATGATTGAAATCGAGCATGAAATAATGTGTTAATTAGTGTGTAATAATATTGATTAGATTTATATCAGATTTATAAAAAAAGAAATGACATGACTCATCATATTTAATATGAACTTTAATTACTTATTTTTAAAAAACGTCAATAAAAATACCTATCTATTTATTACCACTACGTTATAAATTTATTAATAATTACATTATAGACAAGAAAGAATAACATTTTTTTCAGAATAATAATTTTTGTTTATAATAGAATTAGTATTTATTTGTTTCTTTTAACATATGCACTTTTAATAATTTTAATAATTCTACAATTTTTTAATATAAAATTTTTCTTAAATTTATACAAATAATACTTAATAAATTTATACAAATACTTAATGTGATTTTATGAACATAATATAGATATAACTTTCAGACTTTGAAATAGAGGAAATTGGAGATTTAAAATTTACGATACCCGGCGCGTTTTATCTCTTATGTACTTTATACCTGCTTAGCCAGCCTAGCTAAATCTAGTATAGTTCAAAGAAAAAAGAACTTTCAAAGAAAAAAGGATTTCCCGTCTAAATATTTCTTGTGAAACGTCAGTTTTAAAAGAATCTATGATATTTATTTTCTTTTCGATGATCTATTTCTATTTTTACAAGATTGTTAAACAACCGCACCGTTTTGTAATCGACAGTTTCTAATACGATAAGATATTTTTATGAAGTTTAAAGTTCCGTCGTGTGAAAAGTGGAAAAATAAAGAAGGAACAGAGGGAAAGGAGAAACCAATATAGATGAAACGTTATTGCCTTGAGATCACGCGTATTGCTGAAGAACGTTCCGCGGAAGACTCCTTGAATTATGTGAACCTGCTATAATCATTCGTGTTATGTAGGCTTCTAGCGCTCCTAGTTGCATCTCTTTGATTATTAAACAGAAGATCCACTTGGACTGGAATACGTTCCAATTTCCTCGCGAAGATCAGTGGTCGCTTTCCAGGTCGTCTATGCGGAATTACATTATCTATCCCGATGATTGTATGGACTCTGTTCCAGCTGAGAAGGTCATTACTTTGAAAAATTACTATTAGTGATTGCGAACAGAGTAGAGTTTCTACTAATGGTTTATACACATGATATTCACTCGACTTAACAATGAGACAACATATCTCAACAATTGTTATAAAATTTTTAATTGAGAAAGTACATATGGAAATCTGGTATGCCAAGTATCTCTCGACCACCCTAGATGGTACATTAATTAGGTATTCGACATCATTCATTCGTATTATTCCGAAGGGTAAGAGCAAAAAGCAGCACATTAAATCGATTTGGTCGGCATTATGCATTCGAGAATAGCGAACGACTACGACCAAATGACTGTCTAGGCCATTTATCCCGACGCATCTTGAATATTTTTCCCGTCGCATCTCTATTTGACCGGCCTACTGTTTTGTGCATACCATAGCTATATGGCGGTGGACATTACAACCGGATGTCCTTCGTATCAAGAAAGAGAAAGAATAGAGAGAAGAAATAATAGGTAGCGTCGGGGGATGGGGGAGCGAGAGTCGGGGGGTAATCCATTTCGCATTAATATTCCTGTTGGCAGGCAATAGCCATTGAAATTGCGAGCTTCCAGAGCGGACATAATCGACGATTGGCCCGTAATCTTGGGAATCAACACGAAGGGGGGTTAAACGGGGAACAAGCATGGAGTTCAAGAAGCGGGAGATCACCGAGGAAAGAACGATGGAAGAGTGCATTGCCGCGGGATATCGGCCGCGCGCGACCGCCTCTAAACATTGTAAATCGTGAAAAGCGGACGTATGTACATTCCCGGAGAAATCTCGCGGCGGTAATAAGCGATCGGGATAAATGTTGGAAAGGCGTTATTACCAGATCGCAATTGCTATTTCAAGAGTAAAGGTATTCTTTCGTATGATGATCGGACAGGCTCGAGATGCACGGTGTATTTATTCCATATACATGGAAGGAACATCTTTTAATTTCGCTGCTTTCTTTCGTTACGTAATATAAGCTGTACAATGTAATTCCAGAACACATCTTGGAGTAATTCCAGATAGATGAATAGCACTGAATAACGCCTTTTGACCGACGAGCTATTTGATGTCTCGCTAATCCGATCATTTATCTGTTTCGGAATGTGAACACGCGATCTGTACCGCTCTAATCTATATTAATCTATATCTAATCTATATCTAATCTATTTTACCATATAGCAATAACCAGAGATGAGAGGGAGAGAGTTGCGTGGAACGAAACTTTCGCATTCGCTGGATCCATCCATATAATTTTCTATAAAAGACCACTGGAAGCAAGCATTTTTTCATTGTCTTGAAACACAAGCATTTTTCATTGAAATTGATACCAACAATTTTTCGTGTTAATTCTAGTGTTCTGGTTG